TAAAGGAATTACGGTCAAAGGATAAGACAACATTATGCATGCTGTTCCGGGCTGTTGACGAGTCAAGTTTTGAGAAGATTGCAAGGGCAACTACTTCAAAAGAAGCGTGGGCACTCTAGAAAAGGTGATCAAAGAAACCGACCGAGTCAAGCAGGTACATCCCTAATGGTGTTAATATAACACATGCGGAAGCAATTTGGATCTTAGGCACTCTAAGTACATCAATTATAGTGAATTAGCTAGCATGTTCAAAAGCATTAAAACTCAATGAGTTTGAATACTAACATTTTGTCGCTCAAATTTCTTTTTCCTCACGAACCGGTTTCAAATCACCACTAGTGTCTTCTCCACTATTCTCCGGCCTTAGAACGGGATTGTGGAATCTGGTGAGTGACTAAACTTGGGAGGGAATTAGTATATATGAAAAGAGAGTTTGTGAGAGGTTTTTCTCAAGGTTTTTTCCAAAAGTCAACCTTCCATGTACCATGATCACTCAATTTATACAGTCATAATTGCATGTTCATGCAAATTTGAGATCACTAAATTTTGACACTCAAAATTTCACTCAAATGTTTGAGATTATGTGGCAAGCATGCATACTTGAGTTAACCAAATTTTGACCCTCAAAATTTCACTCAAATTTGTGGGGTTTATTTGGCTAAGTATGCAAGTTTGGTTAAACCAAATTTTGACACCTCAAAATTTCACTAACATGTATTTTTCCATTAAATGTCTTAATTTTGATTCGACAATCCAGTTGAATTATTAATTTCAAATTAAAGTAATACTAAATGATTAATTAAACTATTTAATTAATATTTAATATTAATTCAAATGCCAATCTCAATTAATTCCGACACATATTTGATTAAGATATTTAAATCTTATTTAAATATCTCAAATTCTCTCTTTTTGTTTTTAATTCGTAAATAAAACAAAAATGCGGTTAAATTTATCGTATATATGTAGCTGTGAATGTTTGATTAATCCACCACACCTAAATGGCCACACCTAAATGGTGTGAAAGTTATCTTATTTATAATCAAATGAATTACAAGGATATGGAAATAGTAATAAATGGAAATAACAATAAATGAAAAGATACCTATGAAAATAAGGCAAATATTAGATATTTGCCTTATAATAAAATATCAAATATAATATGTGTGGTAAACTATAATTTATTACTAAATATCCTTAACACCGCACCGCAAGCTAAGCGTCGGATTTAAACGAACGTGAAGCTTGAATCTGAAAAATTCAAAGAGGTTGAGAAACACTTTTCATGAAGATGCTAACAACTCGGTTCTTGGCCATCAAAAATTGCAGAGGGATCGCCGCTCAGCGGCGATGCTGCCTTGGCTTCGGCGAGAATATGTCTAACCCATGAAGAGGGATTGTCGCTTAGCGACGATGCTGCCTTGGCTCTGGTGAGAATATTTCTAACCCCAAGAAGTAGAAGGGGAAACCTAGAGCAAGGGACAAAGACAATGTTGAAGCCGGAAGAGTCGCCACATTGGGCGAAGGAGCCAATTTTGGCGAGAAGGGCAGTCGGAAGAGTCGCCTCATCGGGCGAAGAAGCCAATTTTGGCAGGAAGGGCGGCGAAAACTTGGTTGGCGAATAGGCCAGTGCGGCACCCAGATTCCGAAGGTAAATCTCTGCAAAAGGTTGATAGGTTTAGGTTAGGGTTTATGTGAAGGATGAAGGCTGATTGGGAAGAAAATGAGAGAGACTATATTGGCCAAGGGGAAAACCGATTGGGTTGGAAAAGGTGAGGTTATATGTACAGAGTATGACGAAAGGTGATTTGGAGGTCAATAGGGTGGAGCCGAAGAGTAATCAATCGGCTCCGACTACGGCAGCCATGAAGACTGCCCCTGCGGCGTCAAAACCAGCAGGGGTGGTGGAGAAGAAGATTAGAGGATTCAAAAGCCATTGAAAAGAAAGGATCGGGGTTGTTAAACCGAGAGGGCTCTGATAACATGTGAATGTTTGATTAATCCACCACACCTAAATGGTGTGAAAGTTATCTTATTTATAATCAAATGAATTACAAGGATATGGAAATAGTAATAAATGGAAATAACAATAAATGGAAAGATACCTATGAAAATAAGGCAAATATTAGATATTTGCCTTATAATAAAATATCAAATATAATATGTATGGTAAACTATAATTTATTACTAAATATCCTTAACACCGCACCGCAAGCTAAGCGTCGGATTTAAACGAACGTGAAGCTTGAATCTGAAAAATTCAAAGAGGTTGAGAAACACTTTTCATGAAGATGCTAACAACTCGGTTCTTGGCCATCAAAAATTGCAGAGGGATCGCTGCTCAGGGGCGATGCTGCCTTGGCTTCGGCGAGAATATGTCTAACCCATGAAGAGGGATTGTCGCTTAGCGACGATGCTACCTTGGCTCTAGTGAGAATATTTCTAACCCTAAGAAGTAGAAGGGGAAACCTAGAGCAAGGGACAGAGACAATGTTGAAGCCGGAAGAGTCGCCACATTGGGCGAAGGAGCCAATTTTGGCGAGAAGGACAGTCGGAAGAGTCGCCTCATCGGGCGAAGAAGCCAATTTTGGCAGGAAGGGCGGCGAAAACTTGGTTGGCGAATAGGCCAGTGCGGCACCCAGATTCCGAAGGTAAATCTCTGCAAAAGGTTGATAGGTTTAGGTTAGGGTTTATGTGAAGGATGAAGGCTGATTGGGAAGAAAATGAGAGAGACTATATTGGCCAAGGGGAAAACCGATTTGGTTGGAAAATGTGAGGTTGTATGTACAGAGTATGACGAAAGGTAATTTGGAGGTCAATAGGGTTGAATCGAAGAGTAATCAATCGGCTCCGACTACGGCAGCCATGAAAACTGCCCCTGCGGCGTCAAAACCAGCAGGGGTGGTGGAGAAGAAGATTAGAGGATTCAAAATCCATTGAAAAGAAAGAATCAGGGTTGTTAAACCGAAAGGGCTCTGATACCATGTGAATGTTTGATTAATCCACCACACCTAAATGGTGTGAAAGTTATCTTATTTATAATAAAATGAATTACAAGGATATGGAAATAGTAATAAATGGATATAACAATAAATGGAAAGATACCTATGATAATAAAGCAAATATTAGATATTTGCTTTATAATAAAATATCAAATATAATATATATGGTAAACTATAATTTATTACTAAATATCCTTAACAGTAGCGCATTCTCCCTAATTTGAATTCGAACACTTTGAACTCACTCGTCACACTGTTCTATGGTTTAGTCCAATATGAGCTAGCAGAGGGACCTAATGGACCTATAGATCATGGGCTCCAACGATCCAAGATTAACCTGATAAACTCATTAACCTTGTTAACCAACATTCATTAACTACTAGGATATTCCACTATAGCCTAGTAGTTGCACTCCCCTCACTATAGATATATTTCTATCCATTTGATATAACCATGATTAGTAAGTCGATCCTTCACAGGTTGTTCGTAACTCGAGTTGGGTCAATTTACCGTTTTACCCCTGAAATTACTTCTTGTTCCTTATGTCTCACTGATCCTCTAATGAACAATTAGTTTGTGGTCCAATCAGTAAATTGAATCCCTCTCAGGCCAATGAGAGGGTGGGGCCCCTTGTTCAAGACTTGGAGTCAGTACTTAAGGGAACAACCTCTCTTCTATCCTTAAAAGTGGGTAGGAGTGAATTCCATCTTGCACCCCACGTCCCCAGCCATTTACCCAGTCTTACTCCTGAAATGGGAGGCCTATTGAGTCGACGAACTTGAATCATTCTCACCCATGCAAATCTAAGGATAATTCCAAATAAACAGGAGTTCATGGTTAGCTCAGGATTAAGATCGAGTTACCTAGGTCATCGAATGAAAAGAAAATCAGTCTCAACAGTAAACGACATTATAAAGTGAGAGTGATTTTCTTCATGGTCCGATCTTATGCAATACTCATTGCATAGGACGCCCCCACTCACATGTTTTCATATGTACAATTTAGTGATCGCATTGTTTATATCATATACAAAAGTGAGCCGCATTCATAGTGTCCCCAGAATAAGGTACTCAGCCTTATCCTTATACTATAGATCATTTTGACTATATACTTGAACTTGGTCAACTCTTATGTATCTACATATAGTTCAAGTAATCATACTATAGCCAGAGTGTTCTTAGTTTATTGAATTTAGATTAATGATTGTAAAGTTCACTTTATTCAATAACAATCTTTACTGAATAAACAACAATAATAACTTTATTGAAAATAGAATATGTTTTTGTTTACCAACTATGAGTTTGAGGACATAAAATCCAACAGTCTCCAGACTCTGCATGGCGAGTTGGAGAGCATGAAGATGAAGGAGTCAGAAAATGTATCTGACTATATTACACGTGTACAGACCGTGGTGAATCAGTTAAATCGAAACGGAGAAATGCTACCCGAGACGAGGGTTGTGGAGAAAATCTTGAGGTCGTAAACCGACAATTTCAAGAATGTTATTTGTGCAATAGAAGAGTCGAAGGATCTGACGAAGTTCACAGACGATGAGCTTGCCAGTTCTCTTGAGGCACATGGACAACTTAGGATAAAGGAGGAGGAGCCACTCGATCAAGCGCTTTAGACGAGGCATCAATAAAAGATGAAAAAATACTCTACTCACAGAATTTTCGAGGTAGAGATAGTGGAAGCCGCGAGAATGGTCGAGGTGGTCAAGGCAATAGTTATGAAGAAAATTATAAGGAGAAGAGACTGTCGAGCCAAGCAAATTGGCACGGAAGAGGACGCAATCAAGGGCACAGTCAAGGATACAATTCCAACCTCCCGTGCTTTAAATGTCAGAAATATAGCCACTATGCAAATAATTGTAACTTCGACAGATATTACAATTGTGGCAGAATGGGTCATTATGCAAGAGATTGTCGAACCAAAGAGAAGGTGTAAGAAACCATCAACCTAGCCTTGGATGACACAACAAATGGAGGCATCCTCTTGATGGCTCAAAATGAAGAGCCGAACACAAAAAGAGATGGCGGCGCGAAAGATGACGGCGGTATTCTTGAGGTGGTAGAAACCGTTAGAAATGAGGTGATACGCAGCGAATTCGGCGAAATCGCGGTATCAAAGATGAGAAAATCGAAGAAGGATGAACAACCGAAGAACAGAGAGCCCGAACTCGAAGAGAGAGAGCTCCAATGGCCGGAAAAGCAATTTGAGCTAGAAAGAAGAAAGAGGATGAAAATTGAAGAAGAAAAGAAAGAGCTGGAAACAAAAGTTCAATGGTTACAGAAGAAAGTGATTCAGCTGAGTAAGAGTTCCTTCTGGCTAAAACAGGAGAAGGAAAAGAATGAGAAGGCAATCTCCGATCTTACGAAGAAAGTTGAAGAAGGTGCGGAGAAAGAGAAAGGCCTACTCATGAAGATTGAGGGTTTAGTGGACGAGCTAGTAAGGGAGAAAAAGAATATAGAGATACTAACTCAATAGATAAACTCACTCGATGTGAACCTGAATCAAGTTCAACAGAAGACAGTGAACTTACAACACACGATTGAGACACTCACTCGTGATAAAACCAAGATGGAGGAAACAAGAATGCTAGCGGTAAAAGTCACTGTGGACTTATGAAGGGAATTGAATAATTGAATGAAGCCATGAAATCTGAGTCAAGCGTAGCTAAGAACTTGAAAAATGAAGAGGTGCTGTCACAAATGGGATGTTCTCAAGAAGATCCAAATGAAGTCTCATTAGAGAAGGAGGAATCATTGAGTAGGAACATTTAAGTTTATGAGGGAGTTTTGTTGGAAAATAAACTTAAATCAATTTTGTTTCTTTAAATTCAGTTAAAATGGCATAATTATCTCAAGAAAGGAGCCTTTTGATTTACCAGAAGCGGAAGAAGAATTAGTAGCGGGTTATCAAACCGAGTATTCGGGTATCAAATTTGGTTTATTTTATGTTGCTTCCTATCTAAATCTATTAGTTTCTTCGTTATTTGTAACGGTTCTTTACTTGGGTGGTTGGGATATCTCTATTCCATACATATTCGGTTATGAACTTTTTGAAATAAATAAAGCGTATGAAGTCTTTGGAATGACAATTAGTATCTTTATTACATTAGCTAAAACTTATTTATTCTTGTTCATTTCTATAGCAACAAGATGGACTTTACCCCGACTAAGAATAGACCAACTATTAAATCTCGGATGGAAATTTCTTTTACCTATATCTCTTGGTAATCTATTATTAACAACTTCCTTTCAACTCTTTTCACTGTAAAGGAATACCATATTCTATATTCACGACTTGCTCAAACAAGAGAAAGAAACAAACATAAAATTCTTTAGAGATATTACAATATGTTCCCTATGGTAACTGGGTTCATGAATTATGGTCAACAAACAGTACGAGCTGCAAGGTACATTGGTCAGGGTTTCATTATTACTTTATCCCATGCAAATCGTTTGCCTGTAACTATTCAATATCCTTACGAAAAATTAATCGCATCGGAGCGTTTCCGCGGTCGAATCCATTTTGAATTTGATAAATGCATTGCTTGTGAAGTATGTGTTCGTGTATGTCCTATAGATCTCCCCGTTGTTGATTGGAAATTGGAAACGGATATTCGAAAGAAACGATTGCTTAATTACAGTATTGATTTCGGGATCTGTATATTTTGTGGTAACTGCGTTGAATATTGTCCAACAAATTGTTTATCAATGACTGAAGAATATGAACTTTCTACTTATGATCGTCACGAATTGAATTATAATCAAATTTCTTTGGGTCGTTTACCAATGTCAGTAGTTGATGATTATACAATTAGAACAATTCTGAATTCGCCTCAAATTGAAGTCTAAAATAAGTAAATCCCTTGATTAAAGAGTAATTGGAAATTACTAAGGTTCCGTTTTGATCTAAAGAAATGAGGTTTCTTTCGTTTTGTTTGTTTGATCACTACCTACAAATACAAACTATTGATTCATGAGAATTGCAGCTTAATTTAGATTGAAACTATATATTTGGAAATATATAGTTTCAATCTACTATACTCTTTCAGATCAAGACTAAGATTAATACTAATACAATAACTG